TGAGCTGAAAGTCCTTATAAAGTGGATATTAAAACGACAGGGGAAGACTTTACTCTGACTTTCATCTTCCCTTATGTCTTACGACACAACGCTTGATAAAAGATTCAGGAAGCGGAGACAAAACATATCTAAACAGTGAAAATTTGACGTCGGGTTTTTCTCCCGAGCTCTCACCTCCTCTATCCCTGCGATGTTGTTCACTGCCAGCTTCTTCAGCGAGCCCTGCAGCTTTTTATCATCAGCTGTCGCCGTTTTGTGAACAACCTTTTTCTTCCTGCGTGCAGTCCCCTGGGAGACAGAAAAAAAAACTGATTTAAATATCAAAAAAGGAGGATTAAATGAAAAAACGGAATCAGGAAAACTAGTGGCATCAGTTCAAGTCGCCTATCCTGACTTTAATGTCAGTTCTGTGTTTAAAAAACCTCAGATTGGTCTTTTAAAGGTATAACTGAACCCTGGGGAGTATCTGTAGAACCTGTTTTAGATCCAATTAACCTTCCAGAGTTAGCAGTATTAACTTCATCTAAGCTTTCAAGTTTTACGTTAGATCCAGTTCCAACCAAGTAATTTAAAGGGAGTATTTCCACTAATTTCCTCCTCCATTTTAGATGTGATTAACTGATCCCTGTAACAGGGATACAAATCTAAAACTTCTACGGAAGCTGTAATTAAACCTTTACTTAAGATACGATCTCTCGATCTAAACAACTTTATCAATTATAGACATATTTCCTAACTTCCTTTCTTATGTACATATAGCAACAAAATAGTTGCTTACAGTGTGATGACTAAGAGCTTCAGTCAGGTTTTAGAGCTCATCACAGCACTGATGAAAGATCCTGATATTCTCATGGCCTCATATAATGGACTTTTATCTGGACTTGTCCTCCTATGCTTAGTTCAGATCAAACGCATTTTCAGCATCAAAAAAAGAGACTGCAAAGACTTGTCTTGGATGGTTGTACATTTAGAGGTGAGGCGCTCTGGATGTACGACGACCCTATGCAGTCAGTCAGTTCATCAGGATTATGATCCTATCGAAATGTTCTGTTCCCCCCAACCGCATACCGCTGGAGATGGCGAAGGGAGGCACTAGTGAGCTCTGAAGCTAGCAGGGCTGTCTGGGATTTCCTGTTGCAGTTTGCATCGGCTGAAAGTGAATTTAAGGCAGGTAACAGGATATCAAATGGAACATCTTCCGCCAGTAGATGTTAATATTTTTAGTTAATAAAGGCAGTAAGAAAATGTTTTAGTGGATTAATAATGATCTCGCCCACAGACAGCTGGACATAGGCACAGCATCCCTTGCGAACCCGCTTTGGATAAGCGAGACAGAAAATGATTGGATGGTAATGATCAGAGCTCACTCTCTTTTCCCTTATAAAAAAAAATAAAAAATGATACAGGTGATCACAATATTCTTTTAGAAAGGCTTAAACGGTCTGTAGGAATTAAGGAAACAGCACTAGGCTGGTTAAAAATCTAATTTATCTGACAGATTTACATTTGTTCTCGTTAATGATTAACGGAGTGACAGGACCAATTCTCTATACTTTATAGATGCTCCCACTTGGTAAAAATATTAGACAGCATGGGGTTAATATAAATTATTATGCTGTTGATACTCAGCTACGTCGGTCTATAAATCCAAATGAAGCTAACCCATTACATAGACTAAAGGCAAGTCTTGAAGAAATAAAAACCCGGATGACTCTTTATCTTTCTGCTCCTGAATGCAGACAAAACAGAAGTTATTGTCTTTGGACCAGAGTTCTTTGAAAAAGAAGCTCATTAGTCAGTAACTTCATTTGGATGGGATTAAATTGATCTCAGATAATAAAGTTTGGTGTTATCTTTTATCAGGATCATTTAAGTTCAGGTCTCTAGAATTGATTCATTTCACTTCTGGAATTAGAAATAGAAACCTTGATACTGAAAAACTAGTCAAGGCATTTTCTATGGCAATGTTAGAGTTTGGCTTATTGCGATTCTTTACCATAAGGAGGGCAGGAATCTTAGGGGGGTATAAAACACTGCAGCAATGGTTCCAGACATTTATCGGCAGAGGTGAGAAGTAGGCCTAAGTGATAAACTGCTTTACCGTTACGTCATACATTAAAAAAAAATAAAAGTAATTTTGCTGTTTTTTCTTTGTGCACTGATGGCTGCAAAGAGGAAGCCGAGAGCACGTTTTCAGAGTTGAACGCGAGGCAGGCCGATTTTGAGCGAGGGTGTGCAAGTTTAAACGATGCACATTGTTCTCTCTGCATGCTCAGTTCGGTGGCACCAAAATTACAAAAGAACATGAAATGCAAAGTTTGTCTGAAAAATGTTCTGGACTACCCAAAGTAACACATCCAACCTCCACCGTCTACAGCACAACCACACTGTTCAGTTCAAAGATGTGCAAAAGGCTCCCTTACCTTTGAACAAAAATGTTTCCATGAGAGGAAACTGTTTTTCCAGGTCAATGAGACATTGTTGAATGTTTAAACCTGAATGGGTGCAAGACTTTAATATTCAATTGAAAGTAATATGTAATGTGATTTATAACTAAATCGTATAATTCTTTTGAAAAAATATTGTTCAATTGGTCATAAATAGGGCTGGGTATTTTGGCCAAAGTGCTGAATTGATTCGATTTTGATTCATACAGTCCTGAATCGAATAATTTTGATTCGATCTGTTTTTACAATAATGAAAGAGGTTCAACTGTGTTTCAAAATACTCATGTATGTTATTTTTTTTCCTTGTCATATTAAACATAAGGTGCAAACTCGTAAATGAGACAGTTTAAACTTGAGATGTGAACAAAACTGTCTCAAAAGTGAAAAAGTGAAGCCTCACATTAACAAGCAGACGTGACACAGCAGACATGCATGAGCTGCATTATCTCCACTGCAGAAACCATATTTGCAGCATTGTCTGTCTGTCTGTCCGTTTTTCATGGTCAGGCCCCAGTTTGTTAATGTCTTCAGTCAACATTTTTGCTATATTTGCAGCTGTCTGACTTCATCTTGGTAGTCTGTAGCACGAGATGCGAGGCGCCACTCGTTTTCAATGTAGTTGGAAGTCACCTTAATGTCACATATCCAGCACATTATCTTTAGCTGTTTTAAATCCACAATGGTTCCAGATTTCAGTTGGGACAGCTTGCTGAGCGGTGTGTTACTTGGGTCGGCATTTGCACACACCTGGTTGAATGTGAACGTCACGCGCTTCACTTTAAAACTAAACGATCTCATTCCTTACACATCGATTTTGCAAAAATCTAAAGGAATCGAACCATTAATCATTAAATTGATTTTTTTACCCGGCCCTAGTCATAAATCATTATGTTTAGTTAAGTCCTTGTAGAAATCTGCCTCAATGCCAACAATTTACTTTTATATTATTTTTATTAGCACTTTTGGTGCCAGCAATGAATCCAAACAAGAAATGAAGAAGCATTTCAGTACAGGGGCACTGGAAGCAAAAACTTTCACCACAGAAATAACAAATATTGCCCCCTAGTGTGAAGCTAAAAATCTCACAGAGAACTGAGACAAAAGCCCCAGGGGCCCCAGATGGAGGGGCCAATGTTCTGTCTGACAATAGAAATGCTGAGGTCAGACCTGGCAGGTGGAAAATACCAACACACTTCTTAACATGTTGGATTAAAAACCAGAGCAATCTAAGCAAATGGGAGATGTAAAGTGGAAATCCGTACCTTTCCTCCTATTCGGACCTGAGCTTGAAGTTTGGCAAGCTTCTCTTGATTCATAGTGATCTGGAAAACAAAACGAGCTGAATCCAAACCAGAGCAGCAGAGATGCAGCTGGCGACGGATGAACAAATAATAAGAATAACAGCAACAACATGAAAACAAATGTACTAAAACTTAATTAAAAACCTAACAATTCTATAGAGTGCCAAACAAATAAATAAACATAGATTTTTATTATTTTTATTAGACGTTACCATTTTTAAATAGCATGTGTCCTATCTGGCTAACTGATTTGCTGAAACAGCTTCATTAGGCTAATACTACCTATGGGGCTAAAGTCACAACATAGAATCATTTCACTAAAACAAATATTGACTTTACAATAGTTTACCATAGCATTTACACTTTAAAAGAGTCTCGTGGGATGTTTTAACTAGTTTAAACAGTTTATTTACCTGCAATAAGGGATTCTGAGTATGCTGAAGCGATATCGCTACAAATGAAATAGCATGGGCTGTGGAGCGTAGTAAAGTGTAGCAGAAGCACAGCCAACTTCCGGTCCAGGTTTCTAGAATATAACTTCTATATTTTCTTTTTTTTTTTTAACTATCATCAATTTATGGGTTTTATTTTTTCAAATAAATAAAACTAAGCTATTTGGGATATATCTTATAACCAAACGATTTGAGCAGGGTTAAATAACAGTTTTTATTTCTCAATTAGGGCTTTTAATTTTAACTTTTTGGATGTATTTCCGGTTTTACAATTGTATTTTCTCGTCTAACTTGACCGACAGTAGCATAGAAAAGCACGCGGTTGTGTGGATGTGATGTCACGTGGGCTTTCCGCAGAAGGAGGAAAAAACGCTGTTGGCCAATAGGAAGCAAGTACCGCACGTCTATTATTATCAAGGGGCGGGTGCCTAACTTTTATGGTGCCTTCAATATATACTGAATAATCGGAATTCCAAACCCTAGGTCGGAAGATACAAATCAGGTCACACTTGGAAAGTTGGCAAAAATAGAATTGTGTCTTTGCATTTCTGTCAGTTTTGCAATATTAATCGATGAAACACTCATCATTGTGCAAAAACCGTCCATTAAAATATAACACAAGCTAAGCTGGAGTAAATGCATATTAAACCTACTCACCGACCACAAAAATGAAGAAATCCCACTGGTTTTATAATTATGAATGAAAAAAAACAAACAACAATGACGTATTTTTTAGCTTTGTTTTCCTATTCCCGAGGTAACCCCAACGCCGTACTAACGCAATTAATTTTATTTTGAAATATTGCGGTTGGACATCCGGGTTGCCAGCGCTCACGTTCCCTACTTGTTAGCTACGGCTGTGGGCGAACAAATACGGCCAAAATGCAAATATCTATAGTCAACCTCGTTGTTTTCTCTTTGCTGCAGGTTTTACTTTCTTTTTCGTGTTTTCAAGAAGTTGTTGAAGCAGCAAGTGGAAGAGGTGAGTTTATATTTGCCGTAAAACTGGTTTAAGTTGACATTGTGCTCATTGAAAGTGCTCTACAGAGAAGGACGCTTGTTTTTGTGTTCACATCCAGGGTCCCATTGTGTGACTTCTCGAAGCCTTTTCAAAACATGTGTCCGTTAATCAAAGGCAAATAGTCTAGTATTTCTGGTTCGCCCGGTTTTACTGTTAGCGTAAATTAAACTAAACTGTCGCAATATGGGTTTGACTGAAGAACAAATGCATTACAGGACATTACTCATAATCATGGTTATATATTCACCAACATTTTAGTTCAAACTGTGACTTTTTCACTTAAACAACTCCCATACACTTGAAAGCTACTTGGTAAAAGCCATTTGAATATTTGATGTACTTCTCTGCCTAATAACGAGCATTGCAGAGAGGAATGGCTGCACTTTATTGCATTAAAAGACTCAGGATATGCAGTGGATTTGAGAGAAAGGAGGGAAATGGACTGAACGATTTTTCTGGAAATCTAAATTGCAATTTTCAACGATTAGGATTTTATTTCTATTTTCTTCTGAATTATCAATAAGCATTTATATGTTTTTTCTCCAGGGTTTCAGTTTTTTTTCATGTTCTTGAAAGCTTGCTGTATTAAGGGAAATAATCATAAAACTTGTCTGCAGTCCATTGTTGCAGAACTTTAATGTAACTTTTGTGTGAAAAACTTGCATATTGCAGCCATTCTAACACAGTCTTAAATGTAATCTGACAAATATGAGGACTTCTGCGATTTATGATATTGCATCTGTTTAAATAGTGATTACGGTATATTGCAAATGTAACTAATATCCAGCCCTACAATGGGTGTGGTTTACTTTATATGTGATTTACAAAATACAGTTCATATACTGAAAATGTCTCCCTAAAGTTTGGAAGTTTCTTTTTAGCTTTAAAAAACAAAACAAAAAAATGCAGCTGACAGCAGCAATAGCTCCATTTTTGACTTGATCTAGCAAACAGACAACTTAAAATGGTAACATTTGGCCTAGTTCACTTTCAGTGAGGTGGAGAGGGGTGAAAAAGAACAACAACAAAAAAAGCATAATGACAGCAACAAATCCCTCAAAATCTCTCCCTTCAGGGATTTACATCGAAAGGCAGGTGAACACATAAGCTTTGTCTGAAAGGCAAACTCCTTTTTAAGAAAAAAAACATCAGACAAAGTTACCAGTAGCAATGGGTCTGTGATTGATTCCTTCCTGTAAGCCAAACACAGAGGCTCAGGGTCAAAGATTTGCTCTTTAGGGCATTAAACAAGAAGATTATACACAGGCATTGGCTCTGTTTTTGGCTCCATTCAGGAAAGAGATGGAGCTAAATGCAGTGTAACCAGGGCAGGAGTGTCCGTTGTTTTTATGATGGGAGAGAACAATTTGTAGAGGAAACATAACTTATCCGTAGTTTGTTCAGAAAAGCATTACAACTGAGCCCAGATGTTCTGTACCATGGAAGGTATCTTTGTGCCCATCCCCTCTGGATTCAATTTATTTTCTGTTCTGGACAGTTTATAAGAAAATGTCAAACATATCACTTTGCTTTTTTAAATCCTAACATTCCTATTATAGATTGAAGTAAATTCTTGTTTCCAAATGGGTTTTTAAAGTGTCTGCCTTGAAGACCATAGCCAGAAACTGATTCTACCAGAAAAAGCTCTGATATCTGAGATATATACTTTTTATTTAGTTCGTTAAAACACAAGTTACCACAACTTCACCTTTTTTTTAAGTCTAGTATTAAAGCAGAAGTCTTTAGGTTGGTGTTGTGACCTCAGGTGTTCAGACCCACCCTGCTGCATGTAAATATGACACCAGTTCTTTGTTCTGACAGGGTTTGGAGATAACATCCACTGGAGGACACTGGAAGATGGGAAGAAAGAGGCTGAGGCCAGGTAACTCTGCTTTCAGTTGAGCAAACATTAACCCTTGGTCTAAAAAGAGGAACACCACACCTTCATGTCAGCTGACAAACAATGACCACTGTGTACAAAAAGCTGTTACTCTGAGAGATGTTCATTTTCTGATTGCTTTGACAGCGGGCTACCAGTCATGGTCATCATCCACAAGAGCTGGTGTGGAGCCTGCAAAGGTAATTTACTGGAAAACATCTCCTAATAAATGAGACCTTGGTATAAATTCAAGCTCATAGAGATTCATGTAATTCATCTCAGCAGAGGCCTGAGGCCTGTAACATGAGGCAGGATTACTGTGTTTGCGAGACAAATAAGCCTCAACCCTGACTTTTTGGTACCACAAAGCTGGATTAGTTTTCAGCTAGGCTAGTCACCATGGTAACGGACTCTGAATGGTAAACCTGCTTCGGGACAGGCTAGCGATCCTGAATCCTAGAAAAAGCCCCACCCAACAGCCAATCAGCTGTTTAGAAAACAAAACAAAACATCCTCACAATAAAATAGCAGTTAAAACAAAAAATTGAATAGTTTTAGATTTATTTTATTCTTCCTCCTTTTTGACACACCAGCCTTGTACTATTCTGCATTTGTTTTCTCCTGTATAATGTCCTCATAAATGCTGGCATTCACTTGTTTCTTATATAATTGTTATATGAATCTAAATAAAAAAAAAGAAAAAAACATACCTATAAGAAAATAAAAATCAGAGCACTAATTGTGAGAAGATCTTTTACATGATCGCTATAAGGATATGAGCAATGCAGGTTTTCACTTGTATGGTATTGGTAAACTGCCAGGTAAAGAAAAAACACTAAGAAGAAGGCTGTAAAGTTTCTGTGAAATGGAACATTGGTGATATAAAGGAGAGGTGAAACGGAAATGCCACAAAGTTTCATTGAAGTAGAAAATGCATTTATACATTTGTGTATATTTTGGGCTGAATTTGAGGACTTTCACTGCTTTAAAAGCAGAGCAGATTTTCAACTCAAACATCTGGATGACTTTCAGACTGATCACTTCTTTTATTGATATGATGCAATTGTGGCATCAGCTTCCAGCTTTATTGGAGCCCAAACGTTATGAAAAAGTCCAACTAAACAGATGAAATGATGGTTTTTCTGTTGGATTTTTATCTCCTAAGTCCTTTTCACTCCCGAGGGGATCGTAATTAACATATAGTACAGTGATTGGGTAACTGGCAGCTTTAGATGCCACTGATGCGAAGTTGCATATTTATGTAGTCGGCAATCCTTTGCTAGTCATTTGAAATCTCATTCATGCTGCCACTGTGTTTGACTTTTCATTTTTCTACGTAATTCTGTAGGAGGAGTTTTTGTTCCTCACAGGAGAAATATGGCGCTCTCCCTTCTGCGCTCATGGTTGTGATTGGTCTTCTACCTTGAACCCGCCCCTTTATACGTGCAGGCTCACAGATTCATGATCAGTTCATGCTGAGTTGAGTTAGTGAGTCGTGGTACAGCTGATCCTGATTGGCAAGGTGGATTGGTTAAACTGGATAGGCTGAAAGTAATCCTGCTACGCTGAGCACAGGATGCTTCCGAAGTCAAGGCAAGCAGGGAATTAATGAACTGGCTATAAAGAGGAATATAAGAGAAACCTTACCGGGAAAACTTTCTAAAGAGCACAACACAGGAACACATATGTTGGAAAAAAATATGTAACCCTAATTATATTTAGGGATTCATTCAGGGTTAATAAAAAAAAAAAAAAAATTTGAAATTGAAATGGAATCAAAAGCTTAAAAAGAAACAAGATGTTTGGAAAATGCCAGATTAGGATGATCTCAAAGCTTAAGTATTGGAAGGTTTTTCTAAATGTGGTATTATGTTTTAAGGCTTAAATTGAAAACATTAAAATATTATCACGAAATAACTTTTTTCTTAAACACCTCTGTTGTATTTTCAGCTCTAAAGCCCAAATTTGCTGAATCCAAGGAGATCTCTGAACTGGCACACAACTTTATAATGGTGAACCTGGAGGTAAGGAGCTGCTGCACCATCTCTCAATATGTTAGACATCAATCCTTTATTATTATTTTTGTCTCACCTAGTCAGAATTGTCTCACAATTTCCTCCACTAACCAGTGCTCAAACTCCTTGTATTCAGTCTGCAAATGTTTATTGTATTTACACAGGATGAAGAGGAGCCAAAGGATGAAGCCTTCAGCCCAGATGGTGGCTACATTCCTCGGATTCTCTTCCTCGGTACGAAAAGCCCGCTGACTGGGGCGGCCCACTAGATTCCTGTGGGGGGGTGGCTGTAGTTATCATCAGGTTTAGAAGCGAAGATATTTCAAACATGTTCTGACAACAGCACATAGATATTCTCTATAGTACCTGATGATACTGATAACTGGAGCTGAGCTTCGGTAAACACTACAGGCCCCAATAATGTTGATGTTCCAACAATGTTTGCAGTCAGTGCTCAGATGTCTGTCTGAATATTTCAGGAAATATTTGCAAAGATCGTTTATTTTTTTAACAGCTGAGCCAGACGAGAAATAAAACTGTTATGAAAACAGATTTCATCTCTACTTCCTGTTCAGTAAGGGGGGAAAAAACCCTTAGTTTTAATCAGTGATTCATTATATCTGTTGACCAGAATCTATTCTATTTGAACAACCTTATGGTTTTTAGGTCATAAGCTAGCCTCAAATGAGATTTTGTTCCTTCTAGTTTAAGTTTTAACCAGCGAAGCTGGATCAGCTTCTGACCTCCTGTTGGTTATCGCTTTGTTTGCTCCAATGGATAATATTTGTAGCAAGTAAATGGCAACTGTTTGAGTTATAAAAGAGCTTCAGAGCCAGTTGTGGTCCATAACGTTTGGTTCTTGATGCTCTCTGCCTCATATTTTCCTGATACTGAGGAGGTTATATATTTGAAGCGAACTGAGCTTAAAATGCCAGCTGAAGGATTCTACCTACTGCTTACTTGCAGGCCAGTTTTTTTTTATACTTAAGGTGAAATATTTATATATTCAAATCTTCTTGCCTAATTATGAATTAAGTTAGTTTTTAGAGCAAATGGCCCATTTTTAGAGCTACTAAACTCCTTGTAATAATTACTGAGTTCACTATCATTTGAGTAATTGTTTCAACCTGGTATTTAAGAAACCTTTATACATTTGGTTTTTCTTTTTAATTTAAGCTATTATATCTAAAATCAAAGTGGTCTATTTTTTTTTTCCTTACAATGTCTTTAAGACATTTTTAAGGTAGTAAAGGTGTTTTTTTCTCTTTCAAATTGCACTAGTACATTTTTATTCTTTTATTGAAATTATTTTAGAAATTTAATTGCCATTTTATTATTATATTGTAGCTATAGTCCCTGTAACTGTTTAGTAGCTTAGTTGTTTTCTTTGCTAAGTGAATGCAACACTCTGGATGAGTCAGAATAGTTTTTTTTGTATTGTTTTGTTTTCTTATATCTGTGAATGAAGAAAGCTCATGGTTTGGTTTCAGTTTTTTATCATCTATTTGATGTTTAAAGAAGAGTTAAGGATTAACTTGGATCAAGCAATGAAAATAGAGCAGTCTGTGAAATGGCTGAACTTGCAAGCTTGTGTTTATATTCCAGGTTAGAGTAAAGAAAGTTTTCTCTGTGACTTTTCTTCTGCTCCCAGATCCCAGCGGCAAAGTTCATCCAGAAATCACCAACAGAAACGGGAATCCCAATTACAAGTACTTTTACAGCACAGCAGAACAAGGTAACACTCCAGATTGAACAGCTTCTCTGTGGTGCAAACATATTCAGTAAATGTATTTTCTATATTTCAAGCAATAAAAATTTATTTAAACTTTAAAAATGTTGATCAGTGGGTCTGTAGGGTTTCTTTGTGGTTTTCTCTGCATTTTAGGAGCTTTATTTTCCACTCTTTTCTCTGTAATCCTTCTAGCGGAACCACTCAGATTATTCTGTAATATTTGCTTCAAATAGCTTGAAAATTAGGGGGAAAACATAATGCAATGGTTGAATAGAATTTATTGGAGGAAACATTAAACTCATCCAGGGACATGAGAGATGTATGTAATTAACCATTTGCTCTGTACCTTAAATAGCTTTAAACTTATTATATCTGGTCTCATTGGAACCAAAAACATCAGCAGCTCAAAGTAGGAACAAGCTTGAAGCCTCCTGTTTGTAGTTTTATAAATGCGGAATGAGGAATTCGAGACATGACTGCAGCCTGTCGACGGGTACCTGTTGGTAGCATTAAAATTATTTTTTGAGAGCATCAAAAGAGCATTAAAAAGCATTAAGTTAGAGTTATTCACTCCTGTATAAACCCTGTTCAGTCAAATTTGGCCTTTTAGAAAACAGACCGTTATATCAAGCCGTTTGAAGAGCTTTCTTTACTGATCTGCTGTCTTCCTTTGGCTCCTCTCTGTTTCTCAGTGCTGTCTGGTATGAAGGAGGCGCAGGAGAAGTTGACCGGTGATGCCTTTAAACAAGGCCACACAGGAGACGAGCTGTGAGGAGTGGAAATAAAGAGGAGAGAGGGGGGCTCCATCAACGCTGCAAGGGCTACACTTCCTCTACATCAGCTGCTGAGATCCTTCCATCAAGTCCCTTTGAATATTTATACATCCAACGATAGAACGTAGGTTTAGTCTCAGATGATTTTTAAACCCACGTGTGCATGAGTGTTCCTTTCCGTCCTGCATGGTTTTCCCAGCTCTGCAATCGTATTTCTTTTTTAATCATGAATGTTTCTAAGTTACTCTTTACTAAATGTCAAAGCATTTTACTGTATTTTCTGTCAGTAGAGGATATAAGCGACTCTAGTCCGTCTTGTTAACTTTCATTTATTGTTAGATTCCAGCTGTGAATACTGTTTAATGCATTGAATTTTTGTTTTTTTGTTTCTTTCTTTGACATATACAGGTACAGAAACAGACAAATTAGCCATGTTATTTATGCTAATGAAGAAATCAGCATTTGATCTGTAAATTAGTCATTATTTGAAAGTAAGGCCTAGATTCATGGGGTAATTTAACATTTTTCCTAAAGAGAGAAAATCTCAGGAAAACTGAAAGTTTTTTTAAACTGGAAGTAAAACAGTTTAATTCGGTCAAATCTGATTTAAGAGATCAAGCAGTTTCGTTGGGATTTTTAAATCATTGTTTCAATTCTGTGTTAGAAACATTTGGTGTTTTGGAAAACATGGTAGGATGGCCCTGGAGGCTCGAGCTCTGGGCCCTCAGGTGTAGGTGGTCTGCAGGTTTTAGACACGTTCCTGTTGCAGCACTACTGGGTTAATAAACAGAACTGGTTTTAGGTTCTGATCCAATCCAGGTATCGCAATTCAAATCTGACTTCTCCGTTTTTTGTAGGCCAAATATTTTTTTTTTCCCGTCTGAAATTGGAAAGTTTATCTGCAGAGAAAATGCTTCCGACTGGATGTTAGTGTATGCAGATTATTAATGTAATATTAACTAACATACACTGCAAAGCTTTTAGGTTTAAAGTTTGTTTTAAATACTAAAGTATATGAATACAGTTTGTTTTAGTAGTGCATTTTGTGCCAATACTTTAAGTTGTATAATATTCACCTGATGAATGATCCTTTATTTTGCCTGATATTCTATTTTTTTTTTTTTGGAGCATCATGAGCTAAAATATCAATTCGTTGAGCCTGGATTGTGAACCATTTTTAAAAGTGGAGCTCCCATCTCTAAATTGGGTCAACTAGACATCTATAGAACTGTAAAAAGCAGAGACATGTTTAAAACCATGACCGTCTTCTCACCAGGACTGAAAAAAACAAAAGGCTGCATTAAATTGAGAGAATTTGTTTAGTTTCCCTGTTAAAGATGCTTTTGGTCCACTCCTGACATTTAAAAACTACCAGGGAAAAAACAAAAAAGACTGTTAAGCCAAAGATGAGCTGCATTTTAATGGAAATGAAGTGCTAACTAATATTTGTTGGAAGAAGCTTGTCTCTTTCTGGTTCTTCAAGTCAAATATTTTAACACCTTCAGTGACGTGCTTCCAGAGATGATCTACTGTAATTTACCAGCCCATTCGCCATGTACATACAGACATTAAACCCAGTTTTTTACTTTCTTTGAATCCTATATAATCCTGCTGTGTACAAGCTTTGCCGTTTTGTTTCTGATGCATGTGAGGGAAAAATCAAGTCTTTTTTTACTCTTAAAAGGAAACAAAAGCCGACTTCATGTCTTGATGTATTTTATACACGTGCCAAATAAAGGTTTGTTGTACAGAGTCATTTTGAGGCTAGTGTATTAAAGACAACTGAAACCATTACAATATGTCACTTTTTTATTGAAATGCAACAACAGTGATCCCTTATGGTTGATGGCCTACATGGCTACGGACAATCCTAGATCTATAAGCCTTTTCATTATAACCACAACTTTGTGGGTTTTTTATAAGACAATAATTCACATGAAAAGTTCAAACGAATCTAAATATAACCATTAGACTAAAACACAGTAAAATCATGAGGAAGGTCCGTCATCGACATGGCAACGGCCATTTAAACAGAAAATGCTCAACAGATAGGAGCCGAGAAATGATCCCAAGTCATCTGCTACTGGATGTGACTACTAGAAAGATGGAAGTGAATCTATATAATTATTCTAATTACACAATGCTGCTGTAAAATCAGCAGCATTCTTATATATTTAAAAAAATTCTATAAAAAGATGTGCCGCACATTTGTTTATCCAAATATAAACAACTAGAAAATAGATTCGGAGTATGACACAGGGAATTTAAGGTTAGGAAGGTGCAATTTGTAGCTGCTGTGATGAACGTCTGAGTTAAGGGGGGGCTGTCCAAGAACTTTATGCCACATCTGGACTCGATACTCAACCTTGTGCACACTGGAGGCAGGTCAAGTGTCCGAAAATGGATTCCTGATAACTTAACACGTTAAATAATTTGTCTATGTCAACACGTCAGCCTGCCTGTTTGTCCAGTCGGCTTCAGAGAGGTGAGGTGGGAGAGGAGTGTGTGGGGGGGTGGGGGCAGCAGAAAACCTAAAGTCTCCCCTGCTTGGCGTCTCCGATAGCCCCCCACACGTCGAAGACAAACTCGTCAGGGAAGGCGAAGTCTCCGAGGGTCTCGTCCAGAGCCATGGCGAACTCGTCTGGGTTCTTCTTGTCCCGGCCGACTTCTACCATTGTAGCGGCTAGAGAGAAAAGGAAAGAAATAATAGTTCTCTTCTGACTAATGGACTGATAATATCAGCAAAACGATTCTGTATCGTTAAACATTCTCTCCTATTGGGTTTGCTGCCTTCACAATGCTGTGACATATATATTTTTAAATACATATACACACATCACCATTTAAACTTTCTTTTTTGAAATGACCATTATTTGATTTTATCAGGTAGTGGTCAGTCGATGGATTTCATGCATCCTCTCCTTCCTGTAGCAGATGAATTAGGGAAGTCTATAACTGTCTTGCCCAAGTAGCAGGTCAGGATAATATTTGGATCCAACATGTTTCTCTTCTCTACCACAACAAAAGCATTTGAACACAATATGCTGCTATTTTCCACTTTATGAGTGGTAAGGATCATGTTTACCAGACCACATGAAGGCAGCATATGTTTCCACCCTCAGCTCCTATCATGAGCTTTGAAGTCTGGATGAACAAGATCCTGCAGGTAATAGGCTAAAATGAGCTTCCTCTGTAGGATGGTGGAAGAGCTCTGGAGTAGAGCTTTTGTTTCTCCACATTATCAGCAAAGCCTCCTTAGTTCTTCTCCTTTGGAGGTTTTCAAGGTTCATCCCACTGGAAGGAAACCTAGGAAAGATCCAGGACCTGCTGGAGGGACTAAAAATCCTGTCTGACCTGAGAACAGCTTGGGATTCCCAATAAGCTGGAGGAGACGGACGGACATATGGGATTTCTGTTAATGTTCATGACCAACTGAACATAAAACAAATGCAGGAAAATTACTTAAAATCACTAAAAACAAAGAAAGTTTTGTTTTTTAAGAGACCTATCAACCTTCAGAGAGGCGTATGTCCTTTCCATCATGTAGAATCAAAGACTTTGTCCAAAGATCCGCCCTAATCCCTATATAGGGCACTACACAGTGGTTAAGCCATATTGCACGAGTGTTAAAATGTTTACTGGATGAAAAAGTAGTGGACTTAAAATTCATGCACCTAAAGTAGTGATCATCCATGGTCACTAGACGAGCCGATATATCCTAGAACGCTTTGAAAGAGCTCTCCTTGCAAAGCACCATGGGATTTGTTGTGTGCCAAGAAAGAACAAAGATGGCGCAGGCACTGTGTGGAGAGGCGGAGTCACGTGACCATCGGGGAGCGAAAAGCAGTGATCATCTGTCCACGGGTCAGTTAACTGAGTTCAATATAAAGTCCCGCTCTAAATGCTGATTGGGGGGTGAGGGCGGACGTTCGGATGCAGCCTGGTCTGGACTTCTTTTTATGACATCACTGCATTCGTTCTAATATCATGAACTGCATCCATTGATGTTAATAAACTTACCGAGCTCGGTGTCTCTGATCCCCATGTAGCTCTCCAGGAGGTCATCTACTTTCTTTATTGCTTTCTCATCAAACTCTGTCGGCTGCAAAACAAAAACGGTTCCAAATATTTGGTCAAGTTTTTTTAAACACAAAAGTAAACTCAAGCTATTGCTTGTTTATGTTTATGTTTATGAAACTCCTATTTATGATAGAGACCAGCTAAAAGTAAAAGCTTTCATAGCTAAAATACCACTTGATAAATGTTGGTTTCTTCAATTCTTCATATAAATCAAAAAAAGAAAAATCACATACAACTAAATCTCACTTGAACTTTGGTCAAAATTAGGGTATTCTTCTTTCTTTTAAACATGTTATATTACCAGGAGTCCTGGCTTTTTAAAGACATGTAAAAAGCATTAAAATAAAGGTAATCTATTGCGGTAGCATAGTCTCACGCTGCAATATGAAAAAAGGAAAAAAAGAAATAAGCTTTAACCAGCTATCTCGCGTTTGCCATCATCAACTCTTGGAAACATCAGGAAAAATCATTAAATAAAAGTTAAATGGCTGGTGAATTTTTAAATATTACATGTAATTTTTAGGGTATTTTTCCCTATTGAATACACAAATCTAATTCTTACTGAATTTTCAGACTAGGATTATGCTGCTGCAATAAAATGATTTATTTCAAGGCTTTTCACACAGTTTTACCCAAATGCTTCTGGAGAGATGGAAACCTACATTTACAATAAGATTAATTTTATTCTCATCAACCAAAGAAAGTTTCCTGTTAGAAATTTTGGTTGCAGTTTCTACTCTATGTCATGCTTTGGAAAATCCTGTTATATTATGTTAAACCAAAGAGGATGGAAGTAGCTAAAAATTACATTGTGAAGCACATATTTCACTGACAGAGATGATGTGTTGTGGAAAGTCAGTGTGACAGTCATCAGAGCAGCTAATCATTGGACTCAGGTTGAATAATTCAATGAGGCATTCACACTACAGCTCAGCTGTCATTAACTGACTGACAAAACTTTAATTATTCAGTGAATCACACTGAATCATCCAATTACTGTGTTAGTGGTTATATAAGGATAAAATAAACAGAGAGAATCCTACCTCATCCTCCACTGTAGCTGGACCTTTGGAGCGAAGTCTCAAGGTGCTCCTTCCTGTGCCAATCTTATTTTCGCCGCCCGGCTTGCCGCCCTTTGACCGCGGCTCAAGCATTTCTGTGAAAGGCATTACAGGAAAAACAAAACTGTATAATGCAAACTGCTTTCTTTGTCTGTGGCAACTATGCAAGTCATTGAATGCTAAACATCTTGTCACAATATTATCCTGATGTCTGTATTTATAAATCCCCTGAAAACAAAGCTTGTTTCTTGTTTCTGTAATTAAACCTCTGCTTAAGAAACCGTCTCTTGACCCAGATGACTTGGTCAATTATAGACCTATATCCAATCTTCCTTTCTTATCCAAAATTCTTGAGAAAGTAGTTGCCAAACAAGTTTGCGATCACTTCCACCATAATGAACTTTTTGAAGAGTTTCAGTCTGGCTTTAGAGCTCATCATAGCACTGAAACAGCTCTGGTGAAAGTCACTAATGATATTCTCATGGCCTCAGATAATGGACTTGTATCTGTGCTCGTCCTGTTGGATCTTAGTGCTGCATTTGATACAGTTGACCATAATATTCTTTTAGAAAGACTTGAATATTTTGTTGGAATTAAAGGAACAGCACTAGACTGGTTTAAATCTTATCTATCTGATCGAATTCAGTTTGTTCATGTTAATGATAGATCTTCAACACGCTCAAAGGTTACCTGTGGAGTACCACAGGGATCAGTGCTAGGACCAATTCTCTTTACTTTATACATGCTCCCAATTGGTAGAATTATTAGACAGCATGGGATTAATTTCCACTGTTATGCTGATGATACCCAGCTATATCTGTCTATAAATCCAGATGAAGCTAACCCATTACATAGATTACAGGCATGTCTTGAAGACATAAAAACCTGGATGACTCTTAACTTTCTGCTTCTGAATGCAGACAAAACAGAAGTTATAGTCTTTGGACCAGAGTCTCTGAAAAAGAAACTGATTAGCCAGTCACTTCATTTGGATGGGATTAAACTGATTTCAGATAATAAAGTAAAAAATCTTGGTGTTGTTTTTGATCAGGACCTGTCATTTAAATCCCACATCAAAGAGGTTTCTAGAATTTCCTTCTTTCATCTGAGGAACATTGCAAAAAATTAGAAATATCCTGTCCAGGGGTGATGCTGAGAAACTAGTCCATGCATTTGTTACTTCAAGGCTGGACTATTGTAATTCTTTACTATCAGGAAGTCCACAAACTGTAGTTAAAAGCCTTCAGCTGATCCAAAATGCTGCAGCCAGAGTTCTAATGAAAATTAAAAAGAGAGATCATATCTCGCCTATCCTGGCTTCTCTTCATTGGCTTCCTGTTAAATCAAGAATAGAATTTAAAATCCTCCTTCTCACATATAAAGCCTTAAATGGCCAAGCTCCATCTTATATCAGAGATCTGATTGTTCCTTATGTTCCTAACAGAGCACTTCGCTCTCAATCTGCAGGTTTACTAGTGGTTCCTAGAATTTCTAAAAGTAGAATGGGAGGCAGATCTTTTAGTTATCAGGCTCCTCTCCTGTGGAACCAACTACCAGTTTTAGTCCGTGAGGCAGACACCCTGTCTACTTTTAAGGCTAGGCTTAAAACTTTCCTTTTTGATAAAGCTTATAGTTAGAGTGGCTCAGGTTATCCTGAGCTATCTCTATAGTTATGCTGCTATAGGCTTAGACTTTTGGAGGACATAGGGACCCCCATTTCATCATTCTGCTTCATTCTCTCTCTGTTCTCCTATTCTGCAGAATCTGTTAGTTCAATCTCTAACCTTCTGCTCTCTCTGCTTTTCCTCAGAGTAGCTTTGCCTCGTCTGTTCCTGTTTGGCTGTGACGTCATCCTGGAAAGAAACATCAGCTGTGCTGCTTCTATCAACACCCTTGTTTATAGATGTTGGAGATCGGCCTGTTTTCCAGTGTGGTCCTGTTTCTCTGACCGTGACTGAGTGGATGTGCTTTCTTCGTCCTCTGGCATGGGAGCTGCCTTGGAGCTCGTCTGCCTGGCTGTGTGTTTCCTGGACGGGGCCGCCTTTTACAGCTGCTTTTTGTATCTCTGCTTCTGTCTCCTTGAACCCCAGTCGGCCTCGGCAGATGGCCGCTCACACTGAGCCTGGTTCTGCTGGAGGTTTCTTCCTGTTAAAAGGGAGTTTTTCCTCTCCACTGTCGCTACAAGCATGCTTAGTGTGGGGGATTGTATTTGAGTCAATGAGTCAATGCAATCAACTGGTTTTCCTTAGATAGAAAACTTTGTATCAATTTGATCTGGTTGAACTGTAAAGTGCCTTGAGATGACATGTGTTGTGAATTTGGCGCTATATAAATAAACTGAATTGAAATTGAATTGAATTGTTTCTGGTTTAGTGGTCCTTAAAATCCTATTTCTAGCCTAAAATACATAATCATGTCTTTGAGGAATCCTTTCTATGACAAAAAAAAAAAAAGGTCATCTAAAATCCCTGCAATTAACAAATTACTTCACAAGGATATATTAGTATTTTTAAAATCTATTAAAATGCAATCCAGATTAAATTAGATACTGTTCTTGAAATATTTGAAGCAAATACAAAAACAATAGTCCATCCAAATCTCTGTCAGCATATTATAACATATCATTTCATATATATATATATATATATATATATATATATATATATATATATATATATATATATATATAAATGTCATTAGTTTGTTTTTTTATGTTATTCAAGTTGAAAACACATAAAATTTTACTTTTTCCCTCACCGATTTGTTGCAACATAACTTAACATCCAAGGGTTAAGATATGGACTTATGTGATGCTTAAATATTACCTAATAAAAGTTTCAAGGAAAGTTAAACCAAACATCAAAAGGATTTCAGTGGAAGGTCTCCGACTTTAAAAAATCTGACTTTTGAAAATACCTGCAGATTACATCTATAGGAGAACTACAACGATACTTAAAACTACAAAAAGTAAGAGACTTTTTTTAAAACAGGCTCCTCTCTCTTTGAATGAATTCTGTTCCAAACTCACCAAATGCCTTCATGGGCTCGACCAGTTTGAGGGTGAAGGTCTTGTCTTTGGGAAGGTCTTTGAGCATCCGGGCGACCTCGTAATGCCGCGTCCCGACAATGTTGCGTCCGTTAATGCACTCTATGTGATCGCCCACACAGATCACCTTCACCTGGTCTGCTACGCTCCCTTCTCTGATTCTCTGCCATGCAGACAAAAGAACAGGAAGTAGAGAGATTAGGAATGAATGTGACTAAAATGCTGGATTTTAGCTATCAGAACAAGGCCAAAATCAAATATAAAGGTTTGATCAACTATGTACAAACCCCTATAGGTTTGGATAAATATATGGAAATGACAATGGTTCTCATCGGAAATTAGCAAACTCTGGAAGCTTGTTGCTATTTGCCAAGCTGGTCGTCTTCTTTTTTAAGTGTAAAATGTAGTGTAGTGTTTTCAATCTAATCCATAAAAGAAAAAAATCAAACAGGTCCAACACTTTATTATCAGATCAAAATGAGGAATAAATAAATGCATATGAGGTATCTGAGCAAACTTTGTGTGAAATTAGTTTTAAACAGAAAAGTAGAAAATCCTTTCTCATATAGACTTTCCAAAGAGAATCCAAATAGCAGTTTCCTTTTAAGACTTTTAAAGAATCCAACATGCTCACATATTTTACTGTTTTTCATATATAAGTGATGAAGATAAAATGAAAAGTCCAGACAACAGAAGCAGATTTACAACATGGCATCTGTTCTGAGATAAATGGAGAACAAGGTTGCAGCGAGGAATTTCAGGTCATCTTCTGGTTTGCACAGAGTAATAAATGGCTTTCAGAGCAGCCAGGCAAACAGGGATAAATTAGAGGCAGGAGGAATGCCGCCTTTACTAACAAACGATGACCTACTGGTCACTTTATCAAGGCTAAACATTTCTACAGGTCTGACACAAAGCTGTTGACCGGTGGGAATCAGAGGCAGACAGTAAAAGCCAGTAAATGTGGATTTTCTTTAAAGCTAGGAGCAAAGTCTCATCATTTAAAGGTGATAAAATAACTTCTAGCCCCATCAGCTACACTACTGTAATACTATACAGTTTTTTTACAGCTTTTATTTCTTGAGGGTGCAAAACAAGTGTTTTTTTATGTAAACAATATGAATACTTATTCAAAGAAAAAAGGGCTCCTAGGGTTGTTAAGGTTTCAGACCCATGAATTTAACCCATCTTTTGGAAATAAATACAAACATCATGGTTAGAGGCTCATGGAACAAGAAACCAATATATGATTTTAACAGCTGCAAATGTCATATATAGTTCTCTAGTTACTACACGGTGAAAAAGAAAACTCCCAGTCCTCCAAGTCTTCCCGTTACAGCATCGGGACATCAGGATGCAGTGTAGCAGAAGCAGCACACGATGGCACATGTGAGCAGGTTGATCTGACAGGATGAAATGACTGAAGGCATTTTAAATCATTACACAAGGTGACATGCCACAATTCATCATGACTCTTGTCATACCTAGGAGTTTGAAAAGCTAGTGTAACTACGGAGTCCCAGAAGGCCAAAACCAGTTAGTCCAGACCAGCAATGTTGTTTTTATCAAATGAGATATGAGCTCAGCTGTAGATTACATTAGTAAATATTTGAGATAAGTATAAAATAAAACAGTAATGTTATATTGGATTAAAGAAAAACAGATGATCGTGATTGTTACACGTAGGATTGTTTGTTCATTTTTAGGAACACCGTAACATACTTGATACTAATGAAAAAGCTCATTTATTTTGTGTTAAGACTGGTGGTGTTAATACTTAATGTTAAAGGTGTTAACATGATTTGTTTGTCATGATAAAGATTGTGCTGTTTTGATTTTGGAGAGGCAGGAAAAGGCTCTTAATTTCAATCAAAATGAAAACTGAATTACGTTTAAAGCTACCAGAAGAGAAAAACAACATTGATAAAATGACTATTCCCTTCTCAATTAGAAACCCTGGAAACAAATGAATAAATAAAAAGTAACTGGGTAACTTTTTAAACCATTTTAAAAAAAAAAATTGTATAACTCTTTCAAAATGAGAAATATGCAGCGTCCCTGTATGAATGTGTGTTAACGATGATGCCGATGACCTGAACGTTATAAAAGCTTGTTCCATATTATGTTGTGATGAATTCAGATACTTCTACATTTTTGTTTTCTTGTGAAATGAAAAAAGTCATGATGAGACAGTGTTTATTTGCAGAACTTTATTCTGTTGCATCACTAGAAAATAAAGAACACAACTAAAACCTAAACTTAATCCAACTTATTGATATCATTTAATTATTTCTAATAAACCTAAATCAAATGAGGGGCTTATTACTGGGCATCTGCTCAGCTGAATTACATACTGTTACATATCTGTTAGTTTCAGGTGTGTTAGAGAAGAGATGCATCTAAAAGTTGCAAGATGGTGGCTCTTAAGGGCTGTACCCCTGCTCTGGAGGGTCCCAACAACACTTTGCAGCATTACAGAGTCATTGGCGTCTAATTTATCCTGTGAAATAACTAAATTAATTTAATGAGTTGTGTTTTATTTGGATACATCAAACCCACAGTGTTTGCAGATTTTCAGTGATGCAATGAGGAACAGTTCTTCAACTAAAGACCGTCTCATCATGATTTTTTTTTTTTATCTCTCATTAAAAAAAGAACATAGAATTATCTAAATTCATACAGTAAGAAGATAATCTGTCAACTGCTAAATTTGGTATCATCAGGTCAGGTCTTTATTTCTCTTCTACAAAAGGTAACTTTAGTAAAGTGTGCAAAATGAACAGACATTTCACCTTTTTCTTCTAAATTAATATAGGAGGATATGTGTGTATAAAACCACCGCTTGCTAAGGTCATTCTAATGCAGCTACTGGAATAAGAAATAAAATGTGAGGAATAAAAATGTTTTCTTCTTACCTTTATAAAAGCAAAGCCAGCTCCATTGTCAGTAATAGTGAGGCCAAGGGCGTCTTCAGACTTGTACACTTCTACCTCCTTTTTGATCCCTCTAACGTGGGCGAAGATAAAATCCTCCAAGCCGATCTGCCCCCCCAGAAGCTTCTCCATGTCAATCTTGTGGGTGTTGAGGGTACAGAACAGGATCTGTAAAGAGACACGTTGCAGATTCAATAGAAGCACTTTACCTTATTTTAAAATGGGCAAAAGTTTATGCAAACCTTATATTCTAAGAGCTTAAAACAATGCAGAAGCTGTAGTAGCTTTCTTTGTCACTGTGCTGGCATCTTTGGAGGGTTTTGCCTTTATTACAACAGTTATATCAGTATTTATGCACCATCCACTAATCCACATAGTCCTCAATGTGTCTGGTCTCTTTATAAAAGCTCTGCTTGTCTGTTATTGCAGCTAAGAGGGAAAACGTCCTTTCCTTCAGTGCTTGAATTGTGAAAATCTGGCTTCACACCTCTGTGACTGAAATATCTTCCCAGGGTGGGAAGAGAGAAATTTGATCAGTGCAAACAAACAAGATACAGAACTTCAGACAGAACCAGTGAAACCCCAGGAGGACGCGTCAAGAGATTGTAAATCATTTATTCTGAGCCAACTTTTCTTAAGGATCAAGTTCTAAATTTTAGTTTGACTTGTTTCTAAACCAACTTTGGGGAAATCTGAGTCTAATAAGTCATGAACTAGATTTATCAAATGATAATTGGATCACTGGTAGGATTTATGGTCTAATTTATGGGTAAAAAGCAAAAAGAGAAAGAGTTTTTTTTTTTATTTCATGGTAGAATGAGCAATGTGCACCAATCAGGCTCTGACAGCAAGGTCTGCATTTCTTGTGTACCAACAGCCGTTGCTCCTGCACACATTAGCTAGCACGGCCTTGTCCGTTGCCTTGGGCTACCAGACTATAAAGAATAGGATTAAAACAGAGGGAGGCCACTGCTGAGAAGGAATCTATAAAGGGAGTGATATAAAAAGAGGGGGAGTGCAGAAGCCTCATCCTTTCTGTGTCATCCCCTACTTGCCTCCACTTACCAGGGTATATACCAGGGTATTACCAAAGAGGCTGTGGGAGGAACAGCAGCAGACGCCTACGCTCTGCTACCAAGGCTGCAAACGGCATTAAAGTCCTTCTCTGCAAGGAGAGCTGCTCATCCCTGCTGAGCTGTGAGCCGTAGCCGCTTCATGTCACACTTTGCAGAAAAAGCCTCTGCTCTAACACTTGACTCACAAGAACAGCCACTGCGCTTCCTACGACCCACGGCACGGACCAAACACCCTGATAACTGCATGGCAGAAGGGCAAATCAGAGGGAGAGTTGTTGCAATCTGTTCAGCAGTAACCCCCCTGAATGCTGAACACATGCAAAGAGAACATATGCAGTCAAATACATTTAAAAGAGAACCTGAAGTAGCTGATGGTGAATAAATAAATGCAGCTTGGTCGCTTACATCTCATCCCGTTTAAATTTTGTCTCTCAAATCAATTCCATGTCATACCCAGACATGTTACCATGGCAGCACTAAATGTAAACAAGTTGTACACAGAGCCACGCATACGGGCTGTCTTTTTAACAGAAAGTTTCTCTAATCTATGGTACAAAGGTGAATTTAAGCTGTGAAGGAAACAAACAAAAACCATCCTGACACTCCTTAGCATGATCATTTGCGTGTGTCAGCAGAGGCAAATCATCTGTGAGTTCGTCCTCTTTCGTTTTCTTAGTTTCAGCCATGGATTCACAATATAAGAAAGACCTGCAAAGACGATATTACAGTTAACAATCATCTACGGAGTCATGTAATTAGATCATAAAATGCTCGAATCACATCAGCTGTAGATTTCCCTCACTTCTTTCTTCCTTGTCTGCTATTACAATACTTCAAAATCTCACTTTTTTTTTACTTTGGTGAACAATGATTAATATAAGCAACTACAAGCAGGAAACTAGAAAGCTATTACCTTAGATTACGTAACTCTGACTTCTCAGAACTGAGTTTCAAAGTAAATCTAACACCCTTAGGCACGGGTCAGTAAACTGCCTTAAGTAAAACTACAAAAAAAAAACTAAGTCAAAAGTGAGTCGTTTTGCCAAAAACGCTTTTATTTTCTAAAAAAGCCACAATTACAAGAGAGGAAAAGCTGATAAAAGTCGGTATGTTTTATCAGACAGTGCTCTTGATTGTTAAAAACACACTATGAATTTCTGGGAACATATTGTGAGAACAACCAGAGCGTTTTAACCCAAGATCGACCAGCATATATCCTGCAGAAACTCTTTCTGGCTCCTCAGACAAACAGACAGATACACATCAAATCACTGGAACAGCACTGGAGAGGGACAAACGTTGCTAAGGTAACACTGAAGTAAAGTCATTTAACTTGTTTTATTCACCTTTGACTCAACTATCACACGCGTAGCACAGGGGTCTGCAACCTGTGGCTCCAGGGCCGCAAGTGGCTCTTTGTAACCTCTTAATAGTGGCCTAAAGTGATATAAAGAACCAAATAGTGTATAATAACATATACCAGTATTGGAAACTTTGGAGACCCTGCCTCTCGCCCATTGACTGCTGGAGATGGACACCAGCACCCCTCGCGACCCCACTCAGGACAAGCGTGTAAGAAAATGGATGGATGGATGGATGGATGGATGGATGGATGGATGGATGGATGGATGGATGGATGGATGGATGGATGGATGGATGGATGGATGGATGGATGGATGGATGGATGGATGGATGGATGGATGGATGGAAACTTTAGAGGGCTTTGGAACAAGAGTTGGTATTATTTATATATACTTTTCTTGTTTTTATTTGTTTTTTTTGTTGTTGTTTTTTTACAACAAATAATATCCGACAGAAGGAAATCCATGCTTCATCTTTATAAAACATTTCATGTCTTTCTAAAGATACAAATAAACTGTTGGTTGTTGAAAATTTGAACAGATTTCTAAATGCTAATATTTTACAAAAATAACCTTTTTTTTTAAAGGTTATATATTATTTGTTGATTTAAACGACTTTGATTCAGTCAGACTCAGGGCAAAAAGGCCATTTGATTTTAAAGGTTGGAAACCCCAGACCTAGCAGATTCAGATTTTAAGCTTTCATTTAACAAAGAGAGGAGGGAAACTTTCAGTAAGAATTCATTTTGAAAGAAGTAATTTTTTTGTTATTCTACACTTCTCAATCTAACAAAAACATCGATATTGGCAAAATAAAAATAAAGTATTTTTGATTGTTGTACAGTTTATTGCATCTTTCTAAAAATCTTTCTTTATTTGCAGTCAGCTGCCTGAGGTTAGAAGGTCCATTACCATCACCCTAATCTTTACCTCTCACATTCTCTATTAAAATAAAGTTGCTGTTCTGGCTGAGGCATTTTAAAATATTACATAAGTCAAAAGAAATTCAATAAAGCCTAAATCTTCCAGGTGTACGAATAATTGGCTAAATGAACATGGTGCTGTTGCTTCGGACTTTACATTTACAAATTTCAGAAAACAAACTAAAGCATATCTGATTTGCAAATAGTTTATAGAAAATTGTACCCTATATTTGATTTCCAAATACAGAAGCTAATTGGTTAATTAAATCAAATTGAACAAATACTTAATACTAAATTTAGATTTTTTTTTTTATGAGAAAATAAAGAAGGAATAAAGAAATCCAAATCGGGGTTATATGTGCATTTAAACCCAAGTTATAGTCTTGATAACAGCAATCCACACTTCTAAGAAGGGCCAGCTAAATCCCGGCACTAAGTGAGCTGAAATAAGAAGAACAAACATAATGATCTCTTCTCTTCTGTTCCCTTAAGTGCAGAAAATAGAAAAAAAGTAATTTGTGAACAAATGTTGCAAGAGTGATATAACATGTACAATCAGAGAAACTCTCTTCTTCTAATCTCTGCCCACACACGTCCTTTTGGATCACGTTTCCTACCGCTGAAGACGGGTAAAACTAGATAAACAAACCGCCTACTTTCTCCTCCCTCTTAAATATACTCTGCACTTAAACTAACCTCAATCTTAAGAAACCTGTTTCTTGGGCAGCTGAAATAGAATGAATGAGAACCAGAAGGATCAACAGGAAGTCTGAGCTATTAGCAGGAAATATTACTAACAGGAGGTAAAGTTCAATACTTCTAACAATTTGAGATTTTATCACACCATTTATAGACACATCATCCTCTTTCTAAGACCTCCAATTACTCTGTTCACTCTTGGTGGGACAAACTGGAAACGCCACACAGCATTATTGCTTCCGTATAGCTTTTCTGCCTGTTTTTAGGGAGACTTTTGAAACAAGGGTTAAAAACAGAGATTAATGTTGAACTCATCGAGAGGTCAAGTGCTTTTTAGAGAGAATAAATGATAAATGGTTTATGAATGCTGGATGCTTTTTGCATTTTTACAAAATAATGTGATCCGTTTCTAACCACATTATTCATTATTCATAATGACTGCTCTCAGTCAGACACTGTATGGCCATGCAGGTAAAGGCTTGCATGAATACCTTTAGAAATTAATTAAATGCAAAATCAATACTCATAAACAAGCCAACTAAGATTGTTGCGCAGACTTGACCTCTCTTCTCCTGATGTAACATAAAAAATAATCAACTTTTTCGAAATTTTAAGACCTACTTTTATGCATGCAATACAGTAATATAGCGCTGCACCTAATCAGACATTATCGTTGACAAGTTGTAAACACCAATTATCACCCCTTGTCAATTTAGAAGAAAGATAAAAGAATGAAGCTAAATAAGTAACAACTCTTTCAAACTTCTGTGTTAAGCATGGTGGTGGCAGCGCCATGCTATGAGGCTATTTTCGGTCAGTTATACTATGGATTTACACAAACTAAGCAGAATAATAAATGGGGAATTTAAAGGTATTGTAGAGGATTTTCTTGATTTTTTTAAAAGAGCTGCCCTCTCCACTTAAAAAAAAAAAAACGTGTGAGAGTGTGCACGAGCCCATTTCTCCTCGTGCACGCTCTGTTTAAAAGTTGCTGTTCTCATAGCTCATACAAGCTTACTGTGTCCGAACGTCCACCCTAACCCCTGAATCCATCAATAACTCTGTATATAGAAGCGGGTATTATATAGTGGACTTTATAGCAAACTCAG